GTGCCACGCTAGTAGTAACAAGTGGGGGACAACTTGGAAGCCACTAGCGGTCACTAGCGACTTCGCACCGTTCCTTGGCCGATCGGAGAATCGAGGGTGTGGCCTCGGTCTATCGACGGTTTGGCGACCTCCAAGATCTTAACGTCCGAGGCCTCTGACACTTCCCTGTGCCGTCTGGTGCTCATCGACAACTTGCCGTGCCAAAGCCCTTCGTCGCCTGTTCGATAACAAATTCAGGCGCTCATTGCGCGCGCATCTTAATGCACTGTCCGAGACCCCCAAGTCCAAGACGCCAACGTCTGAGACCTGTATGTCGAACACCTCCATGTCAAAACAAATCCCATTTATACCACTGTTGCAGGATATTTTTGACCAAAAAAGGATTTGTTACCGCCCTTGGGTGACGGTAACAGCACCATGTCGTGGCTCCATGGGTGCAGCTTGTAGCTCTGGACTATCTACACTGAGTCTACACGGTGCAGCCGAGGCTCTGCTCATCATTTGAGTTGTGAGCCCGGCGCTCTGTCGGGCCTCGCAATGAAACAAAGGATGCTTTGAGACATCAAAGAGGCATTCAACACAGTTTGCTTAGCAAACGGATACCTACACCGAATGGGAGGGACATGCCAAGGGCCTTTACCAAAAATATTCTTTTCTTTCTGCTCTCAGTTTGGGGATTGGTGCTTTCGGTCGAGCATCGAGGACTTGCACATGGCATCTTTCACAAACGATCCCACGAACGCTGTCACCGACACCGCCGTCCACTTCACCATGCGAAGGGATGGAGGCCGGCCACGGCCAAGAAAGCATTCATTGTCAAACAATACTTTAACATCATGATAGAATATTTTAAGAACATATGTTTATTTGTTTTCTTGATTCCACAGTGCACCTTTTCCAGGCCCATAGGTGAAAGGCACCTAGTGCCAGAACAAGCGCCTTCAAACTAGCAGAGAATTTCCTGCTAGCTCCTGAAATGAATGTCCAAGTAATGGGCAAAGCATCAAATTGCCAACCCTAGAGCTCTTTCTACAATCCTCGGAGATGAAACTCAAGTCCAAGCGGAAATGAACGAGCCTCAAGGCTCTCTAAGACGCTTCAAGCGGCGGTGCATGGCGCTTGGATCCCTTTGATGCAGCACCATTGTCGCACGGTTAAGGATCAACATTGACAAATTCTGATGTGGCCAATGGGCAATTTTCATATCTCGAAGTGACTGACATGACAACTTAGGGTTCCAGGATGTTCCAAGCACCTAAACGCAGAAAACCGATTGGCATCCATCTCTCAACCTCCAGTCTCGGTGGAGACCAACTCCTCAGAACGGTTGAAAAGTGTTTGGAGACCTTCGCTTTACCACACTGCCTGACTCTGTGCTGACTTGGTGTGGTACATCAGTCTGAGAACATGCACATTCCACACATCGGTGGCTGTAAGAATACATAAGAATACAAACAAATGCGTTGGTCGCCAAAGAAGCAACACATGGGGTGCCAAATCATTTCACTTTGATCAATTGGCCGTGACAAGCCAAGCCACGCATCTAACCCATGTCGATCACAGCCAAGTAGGTTCCAGCAACAGCAGTGATGAGCCCAAAAACCACGAGAAATCCGCAAAGTAGCGTCGTCACCTGACATTCCAATCTCCCCAAATGGCACCCACTACAAACTTCGAAAACAAACAATCCGGTGCTTATCAAAACACGAAACACTGTTGCACAAAGTGCAAATCGAGTCGGCGAGAGGGAGCGAAACAAACGAAGTCGAACTACGACTCCACGACACATGGCGTGTCAAAACAACGAGGCGGTCTCTTCGCGCTCCGCTCGCGTCCGTGTCCTGCGTGTGGTTTCTGGAAGACACAGCCAGGCGCATGTACATCACAGCCCTCAGTCGTCAAGAACGGACTAAATCCGAAAAAGGACCAGATGATATACTCGATATGTCGAAAAGGTAGGATGAGATATGAAATGACCACGTCTACAAGTGGACAAAACATTGTACTCAAAGCTGTCTTCGCACTTGTTCAATTTCTTGCTCCAAAGTACATTTAGCCACTAGCCCAAAACAGAATCCAGGAGCATTTGAAACAAATCAGATGCAGGTTTTGGATATATAGGCTGTAGGGCAAAGCATGGCAAAGCTCATGGCCGTGGTGGTTTCTTTCACATGACTTCATGACCACTGATTTTGAGCCACCTTACGGACAAATACTTCGGTTGCTGGTGTGCGCTTGTCTCGAGGGGAGCTTCCCTATGCTGTGGGCCTCTGGCATCGGTGCCTTCGCACTGACATCCGTGGCTCGACTACGACTGGCTCGCTTCGTGGCCGTCGCAGATGGCAGGCAGTCACTGCAAGGACGCTACTAGGAGCAAAGGACGCTACTAGAGTGCAGGGCGGGCAGGGCGGGCAGGGTGCACAAAAGCAGCATCAACTGCACCTGAAGAGAAGTTCACAACAAAAGCTCTATTCTAAGGCCTTGGTAGTCGCTGGTAGTCTGATTGTGTCTGATTTGGTTTGTATCTGTGTCAACGTGGGCACGATAAGAGTAGCACCTCCTCCGGCAGGTCTTACAATGGGCTGCACTCCGGGCACACATCAACGTGAGGATGTTCGGTTCTTCTGTCCGATGGTGTCCAAAGACTTGGCTCGCCCTGCCATGCCCTGCCTGCCTGGAGTGAGTTTCTACTTGGCTTGAAGAGGACAGGAAGGTATGCACTGCTCCGTCGCAGCTGAGAGAGGAACCAACGCAGAAGTTTGCGCGTGGAACAAATCAGATGCTACACTGAATCAATCCAACAATAAGCCAAGTCTTCCCGTAGACTTCAGATCTAGCCAACACACCCCAGCAAGTTCAGAAGAAGTTGTCCAACATCAAGTGGACGCATCTAGGTTTTCGCAGTTTCCATAGATCCTATACGTGTGATCCGTGAAGCGCTGAATCTCGATCCGCAAACATCTCGAGTCAGCCCCACACATCGCCCTCCAACTTTCCTCCCCAACTTGCAGTGACGTGAAGTAGCGTGACGGAGTGTGTGACGTGACGGGTGATGCTCCTAACTTCGGCTTAACATCTCTACACCCTCATCTGCAACAATTCTTCACTGCTCCCGGTCCCCGACCACCTTATTATACCACCTTCACTACTTCTCAAGAGAGTAGCGGGATCACCACTGAGGTCAAGTTCACGAGCAGCGCCCCGGCAAAGGATGCCAGCGCCGCCACCTTCGCTGCCAGGAAACACGCCTCAGGAAACAAAATACGCATCAAAAAACACAGTTTCTTCGTCCCCAGTCTTGGACAGCAAAAGGGCATGGAGCTCCGATCGAAGATCGTCGATGCGGAGGTTCGTCCAGGCACTGACGCTCCGGTGAGGAAGATCACCACAGCAACAAGGAGGCCACATCGAAGGAGCCTAGGTGAACAAGGCACAAAAATTTGGCCATGTGTTTTGCATTGTTTTGCTAAAAATGTTTGCCGTTTTCGAGTTCTCTGCCTCAACTGTTGTTTAGGGCTTCTGTTTGCGTCTAAGAGAGAAGAGCTGTTATTTCCCACCTGTCAGGTGAGGGTTGTTAGTAGAATTTATGTCAGACCAGACCATCTCCTCCTCCTCCTTCTCCTCGTCGTCCTCCACCGGACCTCAACCACGACCATCCGTGCCCAGTGTTCCCTGCCGGACCTCAACCACGACCATCCACGCCCAGTGCTCCCTGCCAGACCTCAACCACGACCATCCACGCCCAGTGTTCCCTGCCGGACCTCAACCACGACCATCCACGCCCAGTGTTCCCTGCTGGACCTCAACCACAACCATCTACGCCCAGTGTTCCCTGCCGGACCTCAACACACAACTACAAACAGAACAACAAACGCACAGGCAGAAACGCACAACCACAAACACAACCATAAATGCACAATCCCAAACGCACAGCCACAAACACAACAACAAACGCACAACCGCAAACACAACCAGAAACACACAACCACAAGCACACAACCACAAACACAACAATACACACACACAACTACAATTACAACCAGAAACACACAATCACCTACACACAATTACAAAGACAATTGCAAACACATAAGCACAAACACAACCACACACACAACCACAAACAGAACAGCAAGCACACAATCACAAACACACAACCACAAACACAGAACCACAAACACAACTACAAAGAGACAATCACAAACACATAACGACAAACCACAAACGCACAACCACAAACACAACAACAAACACACAACCACAAATACGCAATCGCAAACACACAACCACAAACACAACAACAAACACACAACCACAAACACAACAACAAACGCACAACTACAAACGCAACCAGAAACACACAATCACAAACGCGCAACTACAAAGACAATTACAAACACATAACCGCAAACGCAACCACAACACACACAACCACAAACAGAACAACAAGCACACAAACACAATCACAGACACAGAACTACAAACGCAACTACAAAGAGACAATCGCAAACACATAAAGACAAACACACAACCACAAACAGAACAACAACCACATATCCACAAATACACAATCACAAACACACAACCACAAACACAGAACTACAAACACACAATCACAAACACACAACCACAAACACACAACCACAAACACACAAACATAAACACATAAACTTAAGACACAACCACAAACACACAACCACAACCACAAACACAACCACAAACACAACCGCAAACACAACAACAAACACAACAACAAACACAACCACAAACACACAACCACAAACACAACCACAAACCCACAAACACAACCGCAAACACAAACACAAACACACAATCAGAAACACACAGCCACAAACGCGCAATCACAACCACAACACAGCACACAACCACAACACACAACCACAGCACACAACCCGAGGACCCACAAGCAAAATCGAGAACTACACTACTCACGACCATGGCAACATGCTCCTCACTATGGCATCAAGACAATTGATTGAAATGTCATGGTGGGGATCACTCGAAGTAAGGTAATTTTTTGTTTTTGACGATCCGATTGTGCTCCAAGCGACCGAGCCATGTGAACGGTCGACGTGCGGCGTACGGTGCCTGCGCAAATTCCTCGGTTCTAGGGCTCCTGGCATCACTACTAGGAGCCTAGGGGCTCCTGGCATCCATATACTCGGAGCAAGGGACGCTACTAGGCGCTCCTGGCCATTCTACTAGGAGCAAAGGGCGTTTCTAGGGACCCCTGGCATCCCTACTAGGAGCAAATGACGCTGCTAGGGGCTCCTGGCACCGCTTGCTGCTAGGACTAAGCAACATTTGTGCTTCAGTTCCACAGGGCTCATATCTCCGTGTTTTTGATTGTTGTTTGATGTGCTAGCTTGTCATGGAAAAATTGTCACCAAGTGACATTGTTTGGCATTGCGCTCGGCGATGGCTTCCAGTGACGACAAACAAAAGACTAGAAACTGCCGAGCCGCGCCTGAGCAAATTTCAACAATTGTCCGTTGGCAAGCTTTTGACTC